CCGGTACTCTGAATTCTACACAAATATTATTATGACTTGAGGAGCTATGCTCCATGGAGACAAATGTTTCTAGAAGAAACAGGAGCAAATGGTGCGGTTCAGGGGGGAACCCAGGGGCCTGACTCCTGGATCCCCAAGCCTTGTTTTAACGGAGCATCTCCAGTTCTTTAGAGCTTTACATATTGAACTTCCATAAATTACAACATGCACGAAAACACTCCGCAGCAGCTTAAATCAAGATCTAAGGGATTTAGGCAGAGGCAGATCATATTCTTAAGAGTACCGTTACAGACCCTCCAGAAACACAAATATCTATGCTCCAGTGCTTTCATGTCCACCTCAATTTCATGCCTTTGGATTATTTGTTGATGGCACACTTTTAAATCACAAATTATTCTGCAGAAGGTAATTCCTGAGTCCTTAACACGTTAGATAGAATGAGTCCATCGGGCCAATTTCCTGGAGGGTGTCAGGAGAGCTGGAGGTCCCTGGAAAGTGACAGGGGCCAGAGTTTTAGCACAATAAAATGAACAGAAAAAGCTCCAGTAGGAGAATAGAAGTGCAGCCGAGATGAGTGACCTGTCCTAATGCCACCCTGGGTTCATGCTGTCATTGAATAACATTGCCCTATGTGCTCCATTCTGTCCATACACAGACCACTCAGCCCGAAGCCACTCATGAGCTGGCAGCCAACAGTGCTTCTCACTTGAGCCTTCTCCATGTATCCTGCCAGTGAAACAGATTTTCAATGGCCTCTGACTGTGGGATATTGCTATCCATTCGGTGGTAAATTTCCAATGCAGGGAGGCATAATGATTCCCATTAATTCTGATATTATTCATGCGGTTAAAATCCACATGCCCCCAGCTAAAACATTCCCCTGTAGAAGCTGCAGCCCTTGTCTATTCAGAAATTCTTCGTTACAGGTAGGCAATATGTTTGCTCTGTGCAGAAGTCTGATGTGCTGTAATAGCAACCCTCATTGTGCCTTTGAATCCTTCCAAACACCAGGGGATTTTTATGTGTGTGTTTAATCACTAGGCCCAGACTTCCACTTTTGAGCATCCTGCTACCAGAGCAGATAACAGGAATCAGTGCTCCCAGGCTTGGCATTAGGAGATTCTTGTCTCTTACAAATGTATTTCCCCATAAAACAGTGCTTCTCATCCTCAACGCTACTGCCTTTTGCACCAGTTAAGCATTTATTGTGTACAGGGTGGGGCAAGGGGTGCTGTCCTGTACATTTTAGGATGTATAGCAGCATCCCTGGCCTCTGCCCACCAAATGCCAGTAGCGCCTCCCCGTAGTTGTAACAATTAAAAGTGTCTACAGACATTGTGAAATGTCCCCGAGGGAGGAAAACTAAAATCAGCAACACGAAGCAAATGACAGGAAAGGAAAGGTATCCTTTCATGTCCTAAAGCCCAAAATGTGAAATCCAGTCTACACATAGAGAAACCCACATGGATACCAAGAAAGTGGATATTTAGAGTATCAGATAGAGCATCAGATAGGGTCACTAGGCTGTTACAAACATCAAAATGAATTCAGATTTTACTGGTTCTGAATTCAATATTTTAAGAATTCCATAGTTAGAGGAGGTCACAGAGATCATTTGGGACAACTCCTCCATGAAACAAGAGTAGAAACAGGTCCAGAAATGGTAAGTGATTTCTGAATGATCTCATATCATGGTAGCAGAATGTAGACTAGAATTCAAGTCCCCAAAATCCAAGCTGTGAATTGATTACTTCTTTCATCCATTAGGCTATTTATCAATATGTGCTTGGTTTATTCATAATGTACATATTTTTTATTTAATTTAATGTAAAAATGTGGAGCTTAAGTCTGAGACCCAAAAGAAAAAAAAGCCATATTTCTTAATAAAGGTAATGGAGGCCATTTATCAAATACCTCCTATACATACCCAGATGAGGAATTTTAAATGTAGCATTTAATTTTTGTTATTTTTAAATTTTGTCATTGAATTTTCACAAATATTCTAGGTAGGTGGAAGAAAGAACATTTGTAGCAGCATAGCGCTGGGCTCAAACTTTGGCTCTGTGTCTTTCTTTACATTTATTGAGTTAATCATAGAATATCCCAAGCCTCAGTTTCCCTACATGTAAAGTGGGGACTGTAAGAAACCTAGAGTGCAGTTAGTATGATTATAAAATAAGATCATGCCTTAGAGTCACAAAATACAGTTTCTTGTCCATAGTGAATGTTTACTATTGGTCCCCTTTCCTTTTCCTAATCTCTCTGTTCCTTGGTTCACCCACAAAATGGACATAATCAAGATTGCTATTTTGTAAAGTTGTTGTGGGGCTAAGAGGACATACAAAATGTATAGGGCTTGGAGGTCCATAAATGTCAGCACTTATTATTTCTTACAAATGTAGATGGATCAGGGAATATTTTTAACAGATCCACACAGATGAGGCTTAACAGAAGTACTCAAACTAGATGTTTTCCTAGTTCACCTCTCCCAACCCGTTCTACCAGTTAAGAAGTGAAAACTCTGAGATCGCTAAAAGGCTAATAATTTGACCAAGATTTCTCTGTAAGTTCATGATCCAGCTCTTTCCACCACCTTTCTGTTACTTCTGATAAGCTACCTTGAGCCTGGCTTTATGTTAGCCTCCCAGGATGACAAAGGCAACACTCATCTTGCAGGCTGACTGTGTTGAAGTCTCACTAAAAAAATTATCTTGTGTTACCATTGAATTTAAAGCATCAAGATGTGATGCGTAACAGTGCGATATCCACATCAAATGAACTGCTACAGTGCAGCTCCTGCTGGATCAGCCCCAGTCAGCAGGCTGGTACCAGAAGCTCTGGACTCCAGAGATTCATTCAGTTCTCAGCTACTGCCACCACCTCAGAACACACTTCCTTGATCCTCCGCACCAGTTTGTCTTCCGCACATCACCTGTTTGTCTCCCGCACATCACCTGTTTGTCTCCACAGCACTTACAGGTATCTGAAAATACCATGTTTATTTGCTTCCTGTCGCCCACAGCAGAATGGAAACTCCCTGAGGACTTGACTTGCCACTCTAATTCAAATTCCCAGAACAGCATCAGATTGATACCAGGTTCTCAATAAACATTTGTGAAATCAATGAAGGCATGAGTAAATCTGAGCTGGAATGCCTATGCCCTACTTGCCAGCCTTTCTTGCACGCTTGCCCCATCACTCCCAACCCCTTCCAGTGCCATATGTCCACCAAACAGAAACCCTGGAACTCAATGACAACCAGAGTCCTAGCAGGACTATGCATTATTGAAGCAATTCACTCTTTTGAAGCAAGTTCCGGGGCCTGGTCTGGCTGGTTCCAAACCAAAATCTTGGTAGCTCTACAGTTTTCCAAAGCTCTGGTGATCTGTAGCCCACATGCCTGAAAGTCTACCATGATGTCCTGATTCTATACAGACCAAATGCTAAGGAGTCTCTGAGCCTATTGCACTATAATTCAACCTACTAAACATTTCCCAAGTACCTTCTATGTGCTAGTCATTATAGAAGCAAAACAGAAACTGCACTAGTCAGGGATCTTTAGAGAAACAAAATCAATATAGAGATATAATAAATATATATTATGTGTAGGAGACTTATTATAGAAATTGGCTTGCACAGTTACAGAAGCCACTAGGCTGGATTAGCTGTGTACAAGTTGGAGAACCAAGAAAGCTGGTGGTGTCATTCAGCACAAGTCCACAAGCTTGAGGAGAGCAAAATGGGAGGATGGTATGAGACCCAGTCTACGTATGAAAACCTGAAAACCGGGAAGAGCAATGTGCAAGGGCAGGAGAAGATGGATGTCTCCATCCAAGCACAGAGAGAACTCACCTTTCTTTCACCTTTTTGTTCTATTAAGACCCTCAGTGAGTTGGATGATGTCCACTGCACTGGGGAGAGTTACCTGCTTTACTCAGTTTCCAGTTAAGATGCTAATCTCTTCTGGAAAGACCCTTAAGAGACACCCAGATAGAATGTTTCACAGGTACCTATGCATTCCTTAACCCAGTGAAGTTGACTTGTAAAATTAACCATCACAGATAGCCTTACCAATATGATATGGGATGTTCTGTCAATGCTTTTCACCAGAAACTGATATGGATGGAAGACAGGAAGATACTGAGTAGAAGAGGGTGGTTCCCCAGCAAGGACCTACCCTCAAGCCTGCAAGCCCATGACTTTAAATGGGAACAGGCATTCCTGGTTTTGAGCCCAGAAGTTGCCTTTTGGCCCACCAAGCTCCCCTATTCTATACCAATATAAATCCCAGATTCCAGTCTCCAGAAGCAGATGAGATGAACAGATGAACAGAAGAATGGCAAAATAGCCAGCAGAGGAGGGAAGAGAAGAAGCATCTGAACCCCAAGAGGAGTTCAGCTAGGGATTATTGGAGAGGAGATTGGATGCTGGACAGCCAAACTCCAGGGAAGAGCATCTTCCCACTCCTTCCCCCTTCCAGCTCCCAATCCACACCACTGAAAGCCACCTCTACCACTCAATAAAACCTCCTACATTTATCCTTTAAGTCCCTGTGCGACCTAATTTCTTCCTGGCTGATTAATACTTAAGCCGTCTATGGACAGCCAAGCTAAAAGACCACACTGTAACACATGCCCACTGGGCTTTGGGAATCACAGACACCCACCTTTAGATGCCAGGGCGGAACCCCAAGGCACTTGCCGCAGCTCCTGCACCTGCCTGTCTGTGTGCTCCCCTTTCTGTAACAGGTGGGAGGCAGGGGGAGTTTAGATACATGGTGGCCAAACACATGAGCCACACCCTTTTTGCTTATCCTGTGAGGGGGGTTAAGGAACTCCCCGGTTTCAAAACTATTTTCCCTGCTTTGAGACACATGGACTAAAAATTATGTCATTAGCTTTTGGACCTCAAGAGCACTTAACTCTAGCTGAGTATTCATATGAGGGGCACCATCTTGGCCACTCGAATGGGGATTATTTTACCAGACACTTGCAGGATGACAATCCCAGGAACCCTGTTTCGCAGCACAGGTCCTGGAAAATTTGATCACGACAAGGAGTACCAGAAGTAAGGAAACAGGTTATCTAAAGGGATGGAAAGAGAATCCAAAAATAAACCCTACCTACTTCAGGCAGTGGAGTCAATGCCTGGGAAACTTTCCTTGGAGACAGAGAGACCTGCAGCCTCATCCTGACTAAGCCTCCTGCTAGTTGCTTCAAGTTGGGCAAATTGTTTAATGTCTCTGAGACTCTGCTTCGTCGTCTGTGATGCAGGAAAAATAATACACACTTCGTAAGTTTCCTATGGAGAATGAATGAACGATTATATGCAACGTACTTAGCATTGTGTTGGGCTCAATACGTGATATTTATTACTATTATACTGTGCTTGCTTAAGTATAGACCTCAAGAGAATCAGCCAAGACCAGTGTACCCTTTGGAAATATTTGTTCAAAGGACAAGAAAAATGTCTTGGAATAAGACTCCATAAATCCCTCTTTCACCGTGCCTGACAGAGTTAAAGCAGCTTCCCCGAAGTACCTTGGCTCCCAAGGGCCCTTTACTTACTGGGAGAATCTGCTTCTTCCCTCGTGTACTCTGCTCATCCTCCTACTCCCATCTGCACCAATTAGCAGGGAGCAGACTGTCAGAGACCCAGGAGAGCACCTTGGGAATAGGAATGCCATGCCAGGAACAGGTGAGCCTTCGGAGCCTGTGCAGGTAATGGGGTCGAAAATGAAGATATATTAGGGGAAGAGGAATTACAACTCTGCTGATTAAGTGATGAAGTGAATGGAAATGAAAAACGTGGCATAATTCATTAAGGGAACACTAGCTGCTCCAGGCAAAGGCAACGATGAGGGAGGCTGGATATTGTCTAAGGTTATACAATGAACCAGCAGTCGTCACCTGAGGCCTTCCCACAAAGGATGGGAATTTACTCCCAGCGTTTTCTTTATATTTTAAGAGTTTCTGTATTTTCAAAGAGGTCTTCAATTCCCTAGTTATCTAACCTTGCCGACTGAATAAATGTTGGAAATGACTTTAGATTAACATAAAAATACAAGTTTATGCCTATAATCAGAATAACTGAGCTGAATATAAGCCATTTGGATTCTAGATGGTATATTTCAAATAACAATTCAGAGAGCAAACCCTAGAATGTTTTTCTGATCACCCATGTGGAATGGCATTCTCGAGTTACTCCTGCAATGTAAAACAATTTGACCAAGGGGAGGTGATGAAGTAGATTCCAGTAAATAGAAACTGGTGTGAAAATTTGCCCCATATATAAATATGTCCTCTAGGAAGATTTGTGCATGTTTACCAATCAATATATTTTTCATTACTTTAACCTGCTGTGATAGTGCCTGTCAGTCCTGTCTCCCCCAATCACAGATGTGTAATTCGATTACTCTCCTCTCTCTCCCCACCTCTCTCTCCTTCCCTTCCTCCCTCTCTCCCTCTCCCAAGGAATACCACTGTTTCTGACAGTTTACTGGAGGAGCGATTTTGTGGCTTAGATGTAGGGCTAGCAAGGGCTGCAAGATGCAGCCGCAGAGAAAAGCAGAAAACAGACCTCTGAAAGTCAGAGTGGCTTCCCCAACTCTGAATGACTTTCCCAGTACGTAGGAAGCCTGGCTATGCTTCCTCTTTTGTTCAAGGATTAAAGGAGAGTTAGCCTATCAATTAACCCTCTTCTCTTTAAACTAAATTGAAGGAAGGCCTCAGCGCCCACAAAGGTAACAGCTGGTTTATACAAAGCTTGAAAAGTCTCCATCATTTTGCTGACAAGTGGCCCTTCAGACTTTGCTTGAATACCCACTTACGAATGCCCACTCATTACCTCACAGTGTAGCTCATGCTATTTCTCAACAACTCTTCCTGGCAAGGTAAATGGGGACAAATAATAGAAATAAATGGCTGGGTGTGGTGGCTCACACCTGTAATCCCAGCACTTTGGGAGGCCGAGGCAGGTGGATCATGAGGTCAAGAGATCAAGATCATCCTGGCCACCTTGATGAAACCCTGTCTCTACTAAAAATACAAAAATTTAGCTGGGCGTGGTGGTGAGTGCCTGTTGTCCCAGCTACTCGGGAGGCTGAGGCAGGAGAATTGCTTGAAACCGGAAAACGGAAGTTGCAGTAAGCCAAGATGGCGCCACTGCACTCCAGCCTGGTGATAGAGCGAGACTATGTCTCAAAAAAAATAAATAAATAGAAATAAATATTTTCATCAGTTAAGGATGCAGATGAAGCCAGAGCAAGAAAAAATAATCCAAATTCTATTATACGTCTTCTCCCAAACCCTCTTTTCTTCGGGGCTGGTAGCTATTCACATACCAGTGGATCAGGAAAAATGGAGGCCTTTTCATCACCTTACTCTCCATCCAGGTTTGGACCATCAGAAAGATAGTATCAAAAGGAGGACAAGAAATTACTCATTCAACATGATAAAGCACTGTGTCTGCCTCCATTAGACTGTGGCTGGGCAGTCATAAATACGGCCCTAGTGACTTTTTCTGTCCACAGTTCTTTGTATAAAATAGGGCTTTCCACTGTAGTGGTGGAAATAATGTATTTTTGTCATAGAAAATCTACACAAATGGTAAATTACAAAGAAGTAAATAAAAATAAGCCGTAACCTCACCACCCAAAGATAACTGCTGTCCTTTTGGTGTATATTCCTCCAAGGGATTGTTTGTTTATTTATTTTGTACCTTAATTGCAATATTTTTGTAGTGTTTTATAATTTGCCTCTATTTAATGTAACACTCTACCATACACATTTTTCAAAGTTGTTAAATTTCTCCTTCAACATAATCTTTAATGGCTATGGTGTTCATGTGCATAGATGTACCATTATCTGTTTACACTATGCTGCTTTTGAGGGGCACTTAGGCTGTTAGCAGCTCTATCTCTATAACATGACACGTGATAGAGGAAAGATTAGGCACTGTGGGAACAGAGAAGAGCTCAGAGAATAGACTTAAGGGGTTGAAGAGAGTTTCCTGGAGGAAGTGACTCTTGAATAGTACTTTTCAGATTAGAAATATGGTCCTAGTGACTTTTTCGGTCCATGGTTCTTTGTATAAAATTTTGCTTTCCATTCTAGTGATAGGAGTAATGTATTTTCATCATAGAAAATCCACAAACACAGTAAATCACAAAGAAGTAAATAAAAATAAACCATAACCCCACTACCCAAAGACTGCAAGGCAACACATTGTCTACTTCGTCCCCAGAATTGGCCAAGACAGTGTTAGCCTTAACATCTCTCTCAGCTTGGCTAAATTTTAGGCAGGCTTCTTCATGTCTCTGGGTCACTGACCTCCCTTTTCTTAGAGCATTTGCCTTAGAAAACTTGTAATTATAAATTCTTCCTCTGTCCCTTTGAGAAGTAAATCTTCTTAAAAGCGTCTTGCCGGGTTTGTACTCCAAGAATGTCTTTCTCAAGGATCTGGGAGCCACCCTTGGAAATGTGATCATCAAGGAAAACAGAGTTTCTAACCCCAGTTTCTGTGGCAAGGTAGGAGCTTAGCGTTAGCGGGCACCTGGTTCTGAGTTGGAAAACTTTCTTCTGTCATGAAAATAAGAGGAAGTTTAGTTTCCCTTTGGGTGAAACCAGTTAGCAAACAGAAATAGCCTACAATGCCTCCATCTCTGCTCTTAAAAACTCTTCAGCCCTTTGTTTCAGCAGAGTTAAGCTTAGACTGAGTGCTGGGCTCTCCTCCCTCTTACAATATTCTTGAATAAAGTGTAGGGGACCCAGAGACTACCTTTAACCTCCCTTTTTGCTCTTAGTAGGCACTTCAATTGAGTCAAGAAACCAAATTGACAATAGGCAGATTAATAAGAGAAAAACATACATATTTTATTAGTTTAGCATGTGCATGGAAATCTTCACAAAAAAGTGAAGCTCAAAGTGTTCAAAGCAAGATGCTTTCATACTCTTTAGACAAGGAATGATACATTTGAGAAGAACTGACAGGACAAGGAGGACACAGGGAGGGACAGTAAATTTCTGTGGAAGTCACTGGGAGATATACGTGGTGTGGAGCAGTGGAAAGCTAGTGGAAAATAAAGATGACTTCAGTAAGTATATTTATTCAGGTGCCTTGCAGCCCCATTATCCAGCCTCTGGTGATAAGGGCTATTTTCTCTATGGTATGGAAGGGTACCCCTCCCAGATAAAAGATATTTTAAGGTTTGCTGCTTGTAAGAAGAGACAGGTCACCTAGTCCTTTCTGAAACTTCTTCAGTGTTTTCAACTCAAAATAATAAATATACCAATTTGGTATATTTGGGAATGGCACATTCTTCACTCCTTCCAAAGTCTTCCTTAACTGTTCAATTTTATCCAATCCGAGTTTTGCTCTGACACAATAAAAGTCTTAGAATGTGTCACTTCCTATTGTGCAAGTGAAGAAAACAGAACTGAAAGAGAAGTGACTAGGCAGAAAATCCATGACTACCTAGAGTTGATGTTGGTGAGATTTCTGAGTTCTCTTTGAATTCCTCCATGTTGCATTGATAAAAGAGGTGGAGATTCACTAGCATGCTTTATTACACTGATAGCCTTACTGGCTGCTGGCTTCTCTATGGCTTCTTCACCTACACAATGAAACCATAATACTACCAACTGACAGGGTAGTCATGAGGGTTAAATGAGTTCGTAAATGAGAAATGGCAGCATCTGGCACATAGAGCCTGCTATTCTTATTAACGTCATTATCATTGTTACTATGAAAGAGCACTGATTTTAGAGTCAGAAAAGCTTGAGACCACATTTATCACCCACTGCACGAGGGTACCAGGTAATCAGCTTGTTTCCTAATAGATTGTGGAAAGATTGAAATTACATACCATATGCAGAGAAAATGGTTCACATTGGTCCTTTGGTAGGCAGAATTCTGGAATGGCTTTTCAAGTGTTCTGGTGCCCAGTTATTCAATTAAATACAAATATAAGTGCTGCTGTGAAGATATTTAGCAGGTGTAATTAAAGGTCCAAATAACTTAACCTTAAAATATAGTGATTATCTGGATGGGTGTGATTGAAACATGAAAGCCCTATCAAAGCAGAAAAGTTTCTCTGGCTGGTTCCAAAAAGTGAAGTCAGAGAGATTCAAAATGTGAGAAGGATTCAACATGCAGTTGATATCTTTGAAGATGGACAGAGCCACTGAATCTGAGATCAGCCTCTAGGAGCTAAGAATGATCTTTGGCCAACAGCAGGCAAGAAGGTTATTTCTACATCCCAAGGAAGCAAATTCTGCCAACAACCTAAATGATCTTAGACGTGGATTATTTTCCATATCCTACAGATAAGAGTATAACTTGGCCAATACCTTGATTTAAGCCTTGTAAGACTCTAAGCAAAATACCCAGGCATGTCTGCCCCAACTTCTGGCCTACAGAACTGTGAGATCATAAATGAATGTGGTTTTCAGCCACACATTTGTAATAATTTGTTATGCGTCAATAAAAATCCAATACAGGTCCTATGTGAAGTTTTTGTTTATTTGTTTTTGTTTTCATTTCCCTCCTCAAAACATAAACTAAAAGTAGGTGCAGGGGTGGCCATGTAACTCAGCCCTTTCTTATGTGCTCATGTATCCTGGTCCAAGGTCAAAGTATTATATTATTCCCCTTGGCTACATGGGCAAGCATCCTGGTTAAAAGTCTAAGGCAGCCTCAAGAGTCCCTTTGAAAATGCACTTCCTTTTTCTAAACCTCAGCACCAATGCACTAAAGAGATCAGATTGTTTTTGAAAATCGAGAAATGCAGGCAAGTCCATTTGTACCTTTTTATTGACATATCTGACCTTGCTGGAAAAGTATGTTATGTTTTGCTATAAAAATTATCGGAGAGGGCAGCTTGCTGCGTGATATTTCATATTACAGGATAGGGCACTCAAAGCCACTCTCCTCGAAGGAGCGTGGCCACCACTGAAAATCTGTAGAATCTCGATGAGATTTTTTTCCCCTTAGCATCAGGTCTGCAGTGTTAACTGGGCCTCAGTGTTAGCAAGTGATTCAGTAGATGGAACCTTTGTGTGACATTTCCTTGATTAAACCACTCCACCATGTATAGGTGTAGTTACAAGTAAAATATTTAGTCTTAGGCTTTATTTTTCAAAACTATTGTTTCCTACAAGCTCTTAACAGACATTGAGAATGCCTGTGATCATTGGGTTTGTTTGGATATTGATTCTTTAGACAAATCTCCAAACTAAAACCAAAATTCAAGTTAAAGTCAATTTTAAAAAAATAAGCTTTCTTATCATTTTGTCCAGATTTCTTGTCCTCAGACAGAAAACTTATACCCTTAGGATAACAGTGTTATATTCTAATCTCTACCTACTGTAAAATGACAGAATGTCCATTTTGGCTACTATTTGTTCATAATTTAATAAAGCATTAACTTATATATGCTAGGCACAATGGCAGATGCTGGGGATACAAGTTTGAAATTAACGTAGCTGTGTATTTAAACAGGAAAGGCAGATCTTAACCTTTCTTTTTTTTTTTTTTGAAACAGAGTTTCACTCTCGTTACCTAGGCTGGAGTGCAATGGCTCAATCTCGGCTCACCGCAACCTCCGCCTCCTGGGTTCAGGCAATTCTCCTGCCTCAGCCTCCTGAGTAGCTAGGATTACAGGCACGCGCCACCGTGCCCAGCTAATTTTTTGTATTTTTAGTAGAGACGGGGTTTCACCATGTTGACCAGGATGGTCTCGATCTCTTGACCTCGTGATCCGCCCGCCTCGGCCTCCCAAAGTGCTGGGATTACAGGCATGAGCCACCACGCCTGGCCGATATTAACCTTTCTAAGGAACTCATGCTGCTCCTTCATCTTTCTATGGATAGATCAGGATAAAAGGCAGACTTGGAGAATATTAAGAGGCCAGTTGAATAATCAGGGATCACTCTTACCTACTAGATACATAACTTTGCACAAGTCATGTAAGTTCTCTAAACCCCACTTTCATTATGCGTAAAAAGGGAGTAATAGTAAGAATGACATAATGAGGGCATGGTTAAGATTAAAGGAGCAGTCTTAGTTCATTCAGGTTGCTA